GATAATCCTCTCAAAGGATGTTGTCACTTTTACCCAAACTCACGATCGATAAGCAGTTTAATTATTTGATTCAACTTGGAGCTTGTTTACATATTTCATTTCCCAAAGTCACAACCAACAGCAGAGCCACCCTGGGTACAAAGAAAATGGTGCTTTATTCTAAAGTGCTGATGTTAAGGAGATATACAGACTTCAGCCCTGGAGAGCAACTACTTCACAGTTCTCCATTGACTATGTGGAACAATTGCCCTGGGGCATAACTCTCACAGTCCCATGGCTAAGGTTTCCCTTTCCCAGGGTCCCTCTTCTTCCCTTCCAATCCTCTGATAGTCAAGAACCAGACTCCCTCCTGCCACCTTGACAGCAAGGTAGTTAGACACTGCCTCCACTGCCCTCCTAATGTCCATATCATTTCCTCCTATACCTCCTGCCCTTTCTGCTAGTGACCCATGACAACCTTTTAGCCTTTGATTAGACCTTCCCCTAAATAGCTTTGAACCATGACCCCTTTTCATTCCCTCCTCCTACTCAAATGTTTTTGCCCCAAGGTAAAAGATGTTCCAAGGCAACTAAATTGCTGGAGGGATAGTGTTGGGCCTCTAGTCAGGAAGAACTGAGTTCAAATCTGGCTTCAGACACTTGTTAACTGTATGACCCCGGGCAAATCACTTAACCTCTGTTTACCTTAATCTGCTGGTGAAGGAAATTACAAAGCACTCCAGGATTTTCACTAAGAAAATCCCATGGACAGTATTGGTGTGCTATGGTCCACAGGAGCACAGTCAGACACCATTGAACCACTGAACAACAATAACAAAAAGATGTCTAGTTACAACTCTGCACATCAGATCTAGAGACTGGCATTCTCCCATTTGCAAAATGGTGACTATAATCATGATTCCTCCTTCACAGGGTTTGTGAGGATTCTGTGATGGCGGTAAATTGGAAAGAATAGATTCTACTGGAGTCAGAGGACCCAGCTTCATGTTCTGATTCTCACTACCTGCGTGAGCTTGGGCAAATCACTAACCATCCCTAGTCCCCAGTTCCTCATCTGTCAAATGAAGGGATTAGATTATACAGTATCTCTGAATATCCTTCTAGGTGAGCAGATCCAAGATCCCATTATCCTGCATGTCAACATGAAATTGTGACACAAATGTCAGCTAGTATTCTCTTTAGACATGGGTAGTAGTTCCCTAATAAAACATTCAACATTAACTAAGAGGGTCACGACTGACGTCAGGATCAGCATAACCCAGCAATGAACACACACCGCTAACCAGGATAGCAGAAATTTCCAAGGTGAAAGCCTATTGTCGTGGTTTCAGGGATAATTGCACCTGAGGTAAGAAGCCACCCAGTTCATTTGTGTTGCCTGTAAATTTATTGGGAGAATTTAATGGTTGCTCTAAGGTTTGGGCTCCTGGCCCACAGGCTGCCACAGGGTAGTGGGTTTTCTTCCTTAGCTTTTCCCCTTGCCACCAGAGGCTAGCTTTCTCTAGCCTAAGCTGCTTCATTTGTAGCTGAAAAACTGTGATGTATGCAAGGATACCGCTTCATTTGCAAGTCAGGAGTTGGTAGCAAATCCCCTGAAGAGTGCAGTTATGCCTCGGTGAATGAGGAAAGGAAGAGGGTTTTAGGAAAGTGAGTACAGTTATGCTTTCCACATAAGCAACTTTCCCCATTGCAATTTTGCTATATTGCAGGTTGGCATAAGAAATGAAATGGGAATTTTGGGGAGTTTTGTGGAAGCCACAGATGACATGAGGCCTGGAGATGACACAGAGCCTAAGACCAAACAATTAGCCCAAATTTAATAATAACATAGTGTGAACACCTCATAAAAGAAAAAGAAAAAAAATCAGACTTCTCTGGTATGAAGGGAGGGCCAAAAAATTTTACCAGATTTTCCAAATTGTAGGGGCACAGCACTCCTAACCCCCACAATGTGGAAGAGATAACTATAGTAAGTCACAGTTCAAAGCTATTTAGAGGAAACCCTCTCTAATCAGGGGGTTTAAGGCAGTCATAGGTTACTAACAAGAAGTACAGAAGTCATCCCAATCTCCTCCCCTAAAACTGAGAAGTATAATCAAACAAAATAAATCAACACATTGGTTGTGTCTGAAAATATATGTCCATACCCTCTCTGCCGATATGTGGGAGGCATGCTGCTTTAGCAGTCTTCTAAAGTCACCAAATTTACTTTTAGCTGTCTGCGCATATGTTTCATTGATCTCATGTAAGCTTCTGACTAGCACAGACATGGGACTCTATAGTAAGACACGGTATTGGGTTATTAAGGATGGATGTAGAATCTTATGTGGATGATACCTATCAGCCTCAAAGCAAGCATCCTACAAGGCCCTTTCCTTAGCCTTCTCTTCTTTCTCCCTTTGACACCTCATCTACTCTCAATATTTTAATGATTGTTTCTATTTGGTTAAAAACTGTTAAGGACATTTATTAAGAGCCTATGATGTCCAGGGTGTTGCCAGCTGCATTATGACACGTACAAAATAAATAACACAGAATTTCTATCTTTATGGAACCTAAAATTTAATGAGACACATATAAATACACAATGGAATGTGATCATTCTTTTTCTTATTACTTTATTTTGATTTATCAACAATCACTTCCATAACCTTTTGAATTTTAAATTTTTCTCCCCCTCCCTCCCTGCCTCCCTCCCCAAGACTGTGTGCAATCTGATATACACTATACATGTACATTCCTATTAAACATATTTTCACATTAGTGATGTTGTAAGGAAGAATTAGAATCAATAGGAGAAACCACAAGAAAGAGAAAACAAAACAAAACAGAAGAAAAAAACAGCAAATAGTATGGTTCAATCTGCATTTAAACTCCATAGTTCTTTCTTTGGATGTGGATAGCATTTTCCTTCATGAGACCTTTGGAGATGTCTTAGATCCTTGTATTGCTGAGAAGAGCTAAGTCTATCAAAGTTAGTCCTCGCACAATGTGGCTGCTACTGTGTATGACGTTCTCCTGGTTCTGCTCACTTCACTCAGCATCAGTCCATACAAGTCTTTCCAGGTTTTTCTGAAGTGATAATTCTTTAAAGAAATGCTCCCTCCACCCCCAATGTTACACTAGATATCCAAAGGGAACCATCATTTCTGACTAGGGCAATAAGGAGGGGCTTTAGGGAAGACGTGATATTTGTGATAGTTCCTAAAGGATGTGTAGGAAAGGGGGAGACAGTCTAAGCAGAGAAAATGTTATGGGAAAGGTACAGTGATTGGAGAGTAGATGACACGTCTGAGTGGAGGGCAAGGAGTTTAGTTTCACTTGAGCCTTAATATACCTTAAATTCAAACTGTAAAACATATTACCCATTTAAACTACATTTAGTAGGTAAGAAGATCTCAAGTAAAAGATTTTGAGGGGCCAAAAGATTTTTAGCAAAGGAAGGATAAGATAAAATCTGTGAATATGGAAATTTAATTTATAGTTTGCTCAAAAGATAGCAAACTCTGAATTATTGAAAAACTAATAATGGTCCCAGAGAAGAGATGGTGAAATATATTCCTGCTAGACAAAAAGGCCAGGTATTTCAAGAGCAGAACACTGCATACACTGTCAGACATGGTTACTTCTCTTGGTTACAAAGGAAGTTTCAGTGGCAGCTAGGTGGCACAGTGGATACAGCACTGGCCCTGAAGTCAGGAGGACCTGAGTTCAAATCCGGCCTCAGACCAAACACTTGACACTAGCTGTGTTGACCCTGGGCAAGTCACTTAACCCCTACTGCCTAAAAAAAAAAAAAAAGGTCAATACAAAGGAAGTTTCAGTTCTAGAAATGACAATGGGAGCTATATGCAAAAACGACTAATGGAAAAACAACGGATTCAATAATAATTATCTTCTATTTACATTGAATTTATCTCATATGGTACAATGCAAAACTTATTGTCTCCACCATTAGAATGTGAGCTCACTGAGGATAGACAGTATTTTTGCCTGAACTGAGCACAGTGCATTGAACATAGTAAGTGTAGTGCATCAAATGTAGTGCATAAATGTGTGTAGACCAACTGACAATAAAACTTGTATTTAAAAAAAAATCCCAGTATCAGTCATGTGAAGGATGGAATGGAAGGAGAAAAAACAGAGACAAGACTGTCTGGGAAGCCATTGCAGTAATCCGGTAAAGAGGTAATGAAAGCTTAGCTGGGGTAGTTGCAGCAGGAATAGAAAGGAGAGGAAGAACGTGAAAGAGATTATGTTGATAGACTTCCCAGGACTTGACAAGTAAGGCTTTGGCAGTAATGGAGAAGAGTCAAAGATAACTCCAATACTTTGAACATGAGCAACCAGGTTGAAGAGGGTGCTACTGACAAAAACAGACAAGTCAGAAAAAAATGGTTTGGGTAGGGGTGGGAGGTGAGTACAATAAAATTGTTTTGGGTTATGTAAAGTTTGAGCTACCAATGAGACACCTAGATACAAATGTGTGGGCAAGTTTGTGGAGCAGAACACACATACAAACCCATACACACACACAGGGGCACATATGAACACATGCAGATATTCTTAGTGGGTACAGTAGCCTGAGATCATTCATGCTTATTTATTCCAGGTCCCATACTTGAAAGGGACCCAGCAGGCAGAGGACCTGGGGTTGCTGACAAGTGTAGTATTGAAAAGAGTTTGGAAATATTATTTAAGTGACTCAAGGGTAAGACCTTACGTCTTCTTCTGGTGAACTGGGGTGAGGAAGAAAGGAAGAAATGAAAGAAGGAAGATAGAAGAGAGAGAGAGAGAGAGAGAATAATGCTGCTACTTCTATCGACCACAGAGGATTGCGGTGAGTTTGAGTTTCCAATAAAATAATACATGTGAAAGTGCTTTGGAAAGTAAGAGATTATTATTAAGTGGTAACTGAAGCTGGAGCTGGGAATCAGAAGGGTGCTCAGGAACTATTCTCAAGTTCCAGAATACCCAACGCAGGGTCCTACAAGTAAGAGTTATGGATCTAAGTACACAGGAGCCGGGGGGATGCCTTCACAGGCCAACCAGATCTTCTTGAATTTGGGGAAGCCCATATATGTACACTTGGGGAAACGGCTGCGTGCTTGGAGGACACATAGGGTCTGTGTGAAGGAAATGTCACTCAGGTGACAGTTTTTTGTTACATCATAGCAGTGCTTCACTCTTGGGGTTTTGCATATGTCAAAAATGTCTCCTGCCACAGCATGGATGAAAGTGTTCTCCTGTTTGCATTTGCCCTTATCCAAGATCTGGCGACTATGAATCATGGCTGTGCAATACTGACTGTCCCCACCAGACATGTTGCTCTTCGGATAGTCCACATGAAGCCTCCAGAATCTTTGCACACCGGTCTCATTACCAAAGATAATAATCTGGCAACCCCCTGGCTGCAATAACAATGACAGCAGCAGCAGCAGCAGCAGAGACAGTGGCAGATGGATCCTCTCAAGAGTCATGGCTAGATCCCTAACCAGAAAGAATCAAAAGAAGAGAGGGTCAGAACTCAGATGTATTAATGGAAACTGAGTTTTCCAGGGAAAGCTTCAACATCTTCTATTGTATGTCTCACACAGACCTTCTGCCCAACTCTTAACCCCTCCCCCCATGGGCACCTACCACAAACCAACTCAGTATGCCTTCTCCCCACATCCTCCCACCCACCTACCCCTTTTCCACCCAGGGACTCATTGCTAACCTCTTGGGAGCTGTTCTCCTTTCTCATTGAACTACCTTCTCTTCTGCCTTCCCTGTGCAGAAGAGTGTCATGCCAGACTTCTTGCCTTTATTGTCACCCATACCCCCACCCACACCTTCCTTCCTGGTAATAAGTCAGAAAGACAGCACATCCCACCTAGGATCCAGATCGAATATATGTAATTACAAAATTGTTGACTACATATATTATATGTATATATGCATGTAATTCCATATATATAAAAATATACTATATCATACTTTTTATATATTATAATCATAATATACTGTTATATTATAGACCTATTATATTTATAACTTATATGCATTTTATATATACACATCTATCTACATTTCTCTCCACATATGCATATATGTATACATGCATACATAGACATACATATGCTCCAGAATAACAACCATAACCTCCCTGGAAATTTTAACATGTTCATATACATATATACACATGCTATAGGTGTATATGATATATGCAAAGTACATATGTGTATATTATATATGTGTACATATATACATATGTACACATGTATGTATTATGGCAGAAGCCAAGGCATTCATTTTTATTTGTCCAGATTAGGTGACAAGTTTTAGATTCTTTCATCTGGACTGCTCTGTCCAGCTATCTGAATTCAATTACTACCTGGTCTCCAGAATCTTTCTTGTGCTGATTCTCTGAGAAATCTGTTTTCTCTATTTCCAATCTGTTTCTTTTCCTGGTCTGAGTTTATTTAATTTTCTTCCAATGTAACCAGGGAACCCTACATCTTTTCTCTTTTTCAGATTTTACTGAAATACCAACCATTTTCCTTTCTTTGTACTATCCTACTCACCACATGACAGATAGGAGTTCAGCTTTAATTCATTGTTTTCCTGGATATGTGTTATTTCTCCTAGAGGAATGAGGGAAGAATCTTGTTTACTCATTAGCAATCCTCCAATAATTAGTTATGGTTTTTTCATGTTCATTGGCATGATAGTCCACACTCAGCTACATGCTTTTGGGGGGAGGGGGAGGAAGTATGCGTGCGTGCATGGGTGTGTGTGTGTGTGTGTGTGTGTGTGTGTGTGTGTGTACATTGGGAGGGGAGAGGATTGTCACAATTCATCCACTACCACTGATTGGTAGAGAACATGAGACAGGAAGTCAGGAGTCAGGGTTGTGAATCTGGCTCTAACACTTGTTGTTGTATGACATTGGAAAAGTTGATTAACCTTCCTAAGCCTCAGTTTCCTTATCTGTAAAAGGATAGGGTTTGACTAGATGATTTCTAAGGTCCTTCCTAGCTCTAGGATTTTGTGTTTTAAAACACAGCTTTTGCCCAAAGCCACATACTCTCCATAGTTCAAGACCTGACCCCTGTACTCCCCCTCCAAGTTGTAAGATCTGGGATTTATAGAATCAATTCTCATAAAAATCTTTCAGATTTTCTCAGAGTAAAAATCATTTTGAAGGTGAAGTCTTTTACTTGCCTTTTTGTCTTGTCAATTTTAATATGAAAGGGGACATTAATCCAGCTTGAAACTCTTCCTTACCTTATCTATTTCTCTAAGCTCTATAATATCAGGGGCAAGGAGGAAAATGGGACTCTGTCCTATACCAAAGAATTAAGACCTATTGCAATCCTTCTTTCCTTTGGGTCAGACTACCCATTATCAGGAAAGTCTTTCTTACACTGAACCTAAACCTCTGTCTATCAAATGAAATCAATTCTCTCAATCATGAGTATCACTCAAGGTTCTGTCTTTTACTCATCTGTCACTTTTTTTGCGTGTGATCCTAACCTCTTTTTTTTATTTTTTTATGCTTTTTGGTGAGGCACTCAGAGTTAAGTGACTTGCCCAGCGTTACACAACTGGTAAGTGTCGAGTGTCTGAAGGTGGATTTGAACTCAGGTCCTCCTGACTCTAAGGCCGGAGCTCTATCCACTGCGCCATCTAGCTGCCCTATCCCAACCTTTCCTGAGCCTTCAGCTCGGACCTCTCTTTTAGGTTGCGGTCCCACATCTCCAGCATCTAAAGGAGATCTTCACCTGGATACTCAGCAACACTTTAAATCCAATATGCCCCGAAGCGAACTTCCCATCTGCCTTTCCACAACCCTAGCACTCCGCTCTAATTTCCCTATTTCTGTTATAGCACTAGCTGAGGAGGCTCAAAACCTTGGAGTCATCTTTGCCTCTTCCCTCTCCCTCACTTTCCCTCATTCCCTCATATTGTCTGCAAATCCATTACAGTTGTTAAGCTCTGACAGTTTTACTTCTGAATTAACACTTGCATCTACCGGTTACTGGGGACTCCCCTGCAACACCTTGTTTAGGCTCTCATAACTTCTTACCTAGACTATTGAAAGAGCCTCTTAGCTGGACCTCCTATATTGAGTCATTTTCTTCCCCAATCCATCCTTCACACTCCTGCCCAAGAAACCTTTTTAATGTACCATTCCCCACCAGTCACACTGCTCCAAAACCTTTGATTTCTTTCCTTTGTCTCCCAGATAAAATATGAACATTTGATCCTAGTGTAAAGGCTGTTTAAGGATCCCACCCACCCATCCCCCAGGCCATTAGGGCTGTGCTGAGGACTTTTTGGAGAGTAGTTTACATTTTCATTAAGCTTTACAGAGTTTGTAGTTTTGGCTCATCTCATTAGCCCTAGGAAAAGAAGCTCCATCTCAGACCAATGGTTATGTTAACAGTTCATTCCCCTTCCCCAGTAGCCACCTTCACACCACCTCTTCCAACCCAGTACAGGATCGAGACCATGCACATCTCTCTCAGTTTACCTTTATTACACTCTGGACTTCTTGGCTAGCAAAATGAAACAAAACTATAAATTGCTTAATGAAGGTCTAACTTACTTTTCCCATGAGATTCAAGACCCACCTTCATATTGAAGTCGAACAGGGGTTATATTCACATTCAAAACCCTTCACAATCAAATGCCAACCTTCCTTTAAAGTCCTAACTCATACTGCTCTCTCTCCCCCTTCTCCCAACATGTTCTACATTCCAACCAAACTGAAGCTGGAATTCTAGTCCTTCAGCCTAGTCCTACCTAGCATCTCATCAACTTCCTTTTGATCATACAATTCCCCATGTCTGAAATAGGATTGCTGTGCCCCATCTCTGCCCGTTGAAAGCATTCTTGTCCTTCAAGGCTCAATTGAGGTTGAACCTGCTCCAAGAAACCTCAGCTGACCTTGCCCTTGTCCCCACCCCCTACAACTAAAAATTTTCATAGTACTTTTTGTGAACATTTGCTTTGCACATATCACACTCTCCCTTTTTATTAAAATAAGATCAAATGAGGTATTTGTAAAGCACTTAGCACAGTGCCTGACACATAGTAGATGCCTAATAGAGTTTCATTCCATCCCCTCCTTTCCTCCACTTTCTCTTTATCATATTTTTGTATGTCTTCTCTTCTTCACCTATTTTATCATAAATTCCTTGTTATCCACATTTGTGTCAGTTTGTCTTGATATCCCCAGTACAGAGCACAGTGCCTTGCCCACGGTAGGTACTTAATAAATGTTTAATTGAATTGAATTTACCTATCTGTGATGGAAATGAGTTGGTCATCATCTCTTATTCAGCATCCTTTCATTGACTTGAAGGGAATTATCAAGTGCCCCCTCATCTTCCTCTGCTCTACCCTACACAATCCATGTGCCTTTATCCAATTGTTCCATCATCACCAGCTTAGCCAGCTCCTTGTGCTCTGTTGTTCAGTGTGCGCTTGACTAGCCACCAGGCGGGTTGTCCTTCTCTGTCTCCAGCATCACCTTTTCATATCTATTACATATGTATCTCATATGTATTTCATGGGGTAACTTTCCCCGAAGAGAGAAGTAAGATTTAACACCTTTCCTTTGCTGAAACCCCAGCTATGGAGGGAGGAAGGGGTACTAACTGGGACACATTATTTACCAGTTGGCCCTCTTCTGGCACCTGTGAGCTTATAGTTTCCTAATGAGCATGGTGTCTGCTTCTCTCCTACCCCTAATCTGCCCCTAATGCCTCCTGCAGCTCTCTCAGGTTCTTCTGTGCTCCCCCAGAGATGAGTATGTTATGTGGCAAAAAAGGATTAGACATTTTGCTTGATCCCAGCAGGCAGAAATAGTAGTAATGATTGGAAAGTGCAGAATAACATTTAGGTGTGGTGTCAGGAAAAACTTCAGAACAATTCACACTATCCAAAAGCCAAATAGACTTTTGTCAGGAGGTAGTGGGCTCCCCTTCAAAAGATGTCTTCAAGCAAAGGTTTGATGACTGCTTGATGGGGATGTTGTCATTTTCAGATACAGTTTGCACAAAATAACTCCTGAAGTCCTTGTGAATCCTGAGATTCTGTGATTCTCTTCCCTCAACAAATCCACAAGAGAAAAGTATAGTAAAATTATCTCACTAAGAAAATTAAGGTCATTTGCCAAGTCTTTTCTCTTTTCCCTACTCTTCATGTCATATCCCTTAGATACCTTCCACTACATCTCCTCCTTCTCTCCTGTCTCACAAGAAGAGGTGTCTTTTCTCCTTGCCAAGGCAAATCTCTACACGTCCGGGTGATTTCATTCCAAGAGCGCTCATTCCATCTTGTCTTCTCCAGCATATTTCCCCCGTATTATCTTTACTTTCTTGCCTATTTTCAGTCTTTTCCTTTCTGTAGGCTGCTTCCCTACTGCCTATGAACATGCTTGTGTCTCCCCGATATGAGGCCTAAAAATTGTCCAATATGTGGTAAAAGG